ACACACCAGTTTTAACAGGACTAACTTTACATATTTAAGGTGAGAACTGTTCTTTGTGGTCAGTTCTAAGGTAGCAGTACAGGCTGTATGGACTCATTACCTATATATACTCTGTAGCTGAGATGCACACTAAATTACTCTAAATATGTATATGCACAAATAAAAACCTATCACATGTGGATCAATACTTTTAATTCTAGAAGACATTACACAGACACATTTCAATCTCTTGCACATTGCCCAACATATTTTTCACATCTTTGTGTCTTTATTCACCATTTTCACACACAAACCTCACCAAACATATTGGCAAATTCCTGTGCATGGATTTGCTCTAACATTTCCCTTCAAGTTGAACCATAAAAACATTTGCTGATGTTAACCAGCTAGTTGTGCATGATTTGGCAATACTGCTTTCACTGCCTTTTGCAATGAAAGCAGCATAGAATAGAATCTAAAACAGCACACCCCAGGAAAGATGCCAATAAACCTAACTTCAATCACCTTATCATCAGTCAGGATCACAGGAAGAAAAATGACCAACATTTAATAGCTAATGTAAGTAATTACTCATACAAGTTTGCAGATGTTATAAACCTTGTGGTTACCAAAAGCTTGGGACTAGTAAAAAAAGGCAAAGATGAATGATACTGATGCTTGAAGAATTCAACACATACATAGTTTCTAATGGTAACCATGAGGATGATATGTTTCATTTCATATTGCTACACAGGATAATGTGAAGACTTGACCTATGTTTAGACGGGTATACTTACAGTATACTTAGTAACTTGTACAAGTTTCAAAATTGATGTAGAAAAGGCAATTCCTGTCAAGGTACCATCCGGGATAATTTTATGTCCATTTTAGCTAAGCAGGTGGTTACTTTATTTTTCCAAGTACATACATGTATACTGAAAACTAACCAGGAAGCACACAAGCTACGTCTTTCGTAAAAAGGTCATCAGTTAATGAAATTTTGTACTACTGACAATGCAGTCCTGTGACAGTAACTACATGTATACTTGGTGATCAACAGAGGAATCCGAATGGACACATTTTTGTAAATTTTTAGATCTGCCAATGCCTTGTCTTTTCAATACCACACCAACTACTCTATGCAGTGTCATACCATTGTAGGTAAACTCAGACACAACTCCTGCAATGAAATCACAGGACTAATTCTTTCCAATAGAACTACCATATATATACATCAATATAATGTATCAAAATTGATGAAGGTCACTGCAACTCTAATGCATCTGAGTTACAAGTTAACCATTTATATCATATCTGGCCATTGTATTTTGGGAACAACATACGCTGAGTTTATTGATACAATGTTGGATGAAGAGAAAAATATAGAGATTTGCCTTTTCTAAAAAATCAGGTTATGTTTTTCTACCTCTACAAATGGGCCTTTGTGTATGGTGATAAAACTGTATTTCATCACACAGTCACAGGAGAATAAGGATATTCTGAACAGATCTTCCTTTCTTCAAGGTCACAGAAATGTTAATTGTATCCTTGAGTCTTACGCAAATGGAGTCTTGTGAGCACATTGTGCTATCACACTAGTAAGTCAAGGTATTATAAGTTTAATAATGTAAATGCCCTTAAAACCAATCACCTTTTTCTAATCCACAGTATCAATATTAACATACCTCCTATAAGTTGGATCCACCCACACCTGTTGCACAGCACATGCAACATTTCACTGGTATGGACATAACCCTGGTCTTCAGAGGCAAAATTGCAGTTTCACCCACACCTTCGTTGGTGACATTTTCCTAGAGTACAAGTTACTTTAATACTGTACAATATAATGGGTACTTCCCTTGGTACCACACTGATACTAGAACATTGAGAAATTATGAAAATGAGAACTGAGCTATTTTGTAAATCTTCAATAAAGGGCCATCCATTTGTTCAGATCTTGATTTATATGCTGCCATTTCTGTTGACACTGGGACGGGAAAGTTACCGGTAATCTTAGAGTTTCATAACAGAAACTGACAGATAAATACAAGACTAAACAAGGTATGGGCCAGCAAATACATGTAGTTGAAATCAACAGAAACAGAATGGGGACCAGCTGTTACACTTGTGCTAATAGCCCCTTGAAAGTAACCATTGTTAACCACTGGTGAGAATTCATTGTCTACAAATTTAGATCTGCAGATTTGCACTAAGAATTCACACATCACAGCTGCTGGACAGTAGATAAGAGTCACAGTTGGCAAGGATAGCAACATCAGCTTAGGCCAATGTAACTGAAGTGCTGATTGAGAATCAGCAGCAGGAAAGACGTGGATGATGTCAACTCAAGATCCTGTCAAGATTATTGGCTATAAAATCCAGATTGTACATCTTACTGCAGCTTCAACAGTACACAAAACACATTCTTCCCAATGTACTCTTCAATCACACCAATTTTACTGTTGAAATTTCAGCTTCACCATTCTGTCTACAACAATACATGGTACTGAAGGCTGTTCTTCAAAGTGTGTACATACCTCTTCCTTTCTTCTGGGAAAACATTACTACTTAATGCCCTTGCATAAAAACATGTTTGGGTTGGGCAACAATTTTGGTGAGAAAAAGGAAAAATTATAAACAACATGATCTCTCCAAATCAAATACACATGTATATGTTTGTAGTATCATTACCATAATTGTACATGTATATGTTCATACATGCAGGTTGATGTGTATGTATGGGAACTTCCAGATCTGATTTTCTTGCATGCCAACAAATCTTTTCATACTGCAATATACATACTATTCTACAAACTTCTGCAAGCTGACAAGTGACCTCTGTAAATATGGTATGACAAAAGCAAGGAAATAATTCATCTTAACATCTCATCAAAGAAACAAACTTTAGTTACTAGTAGTTCTAATCCCAGATTGATTGCTATGCACAAAGCAAGCATACGGCTTCTATATACACACTATCAACTGCACTTCTCTACTCAATAAGCTTCTTGGCCTTGAAGAAACGACGCAGGTACAGGACTTGCCACGTAGCCAGACCAATCAGACAGCACATGGAGAAAATACTGAAGTATAGCACTCGGGAGTTGGTGGACTCTGTGTGAATACAACATCAGTCAGTA